ATCTGACTCCTGCTCCTCACACAGCTGAGCTTCATCAGAAACACGACTGGAGGGGCCAGGCTCTTCATCAAGCCGTGAGTCTTGTAATTCATCAGAGCCTCCCTCTGACCCTGATGGCCCCTCAACGGCCTCCTCCACATCCTCCTCAGATTCCTCAGACTCAGCTGTTGGGAACACAGGCTGGCACGGAATCACAACATAATCATTCCATAAGTTCAACAAAATTTACTCTATTGTATGGTCAGGATTACGGCCTCTTCTCAGCATACTCTAATGCAGGGCTTTTCAACTGGTGGATGTGTACCACCGGTGGTACGTTGGCACCTGGCAGGTGGTACGCGACCGTCCTAGAGAAGTGGTAGCTGGGGAGGGGAAGGAGCTGAAGCGGCAGCAGCACCGCACAAGCCTGAGCAAGAGACAGCTGGAGCTGCAGGGCTGTCAGGGCTCAGCAGAAGCGCCAGGATAAGCGCCAGACTCCAACTGATCAATGCTTCTGCAGGGCTCAGCAGAAGTGCCAGGATCAGTGCCGGGCTCCAGCTGATTGGCATTTCTGCAGGGCTGTCAGGGCTCAGAAGAAGCACCAGGATCAGCTGGAGCCCGGCACTGATCCTGGAGCTTCTGCTGAGCCCTGACAGCCCCGCAGAAGCGCCAATTTGCTGTCAGGGCTCAGTGCCAGGATCAGCAGCGGAAGGAAGGAAGGAGATGGGAATGAGAAGGAGGGAAGCATGGAGGGGGGAAAAGGAAGGAAGGAACCGCCCCCCACAGTAACCATAATGCTAATGCAGCTCTCAATGAAATTGAGTTTGACACCCCTGATATAAAAGATTGTTAAGTGAATCTGGTTTCCCTATGAACTTGCTTGTCAAAAGGTTGCAAAAGGGGATCACATGACCTTGAGACACTGCGGCCATCATAAATATGAATCAGTTGCCAAGCATCCAAATGTAAATAACATGACCCTGGGAATGTTGAAATGGTCATAAGTGTGAAAAATGGTCATAAGTCACTTTTTACAGTGCCATTGTAACTTCAAACAGTCACTAAGTGAACTGTTGTAAGTCAAGGACTACCTGTACTTTATCACGTTTTTCTTTTCTTTTTTTGTTCATCAAGTTTTTGACATCTTGCTAGGCGACTGGTGGTACTCGGATATTGCCATATCCTAAAACTGGTACAATGGGTGAAAATGTTGAAAAGCCCTGCTCTAATGCATATTTACTCTGAATAAAATCCAATACAGTTCATTGTGGCATTTTTCATTGGAGCTCTCTTTAGGACTGTGTTCAGAAGAATCTCAAAGACAGTAGAATTACTATGAATCCCGCCACATAAACAGATTAGAAAACTAAAATTGTCATTGTTTATACCACTAATGGGATTAGGAGAATGAAAATAAAGGATACTTCCAGAAAGCACCAATAATCAAGAAAAATAATGCAGCAATTCCACTTTTTTCCTTAATAAAAAAATCTTCCTTATGAAAAAAGCTAGGAGTGTTATAAATTATTTATTTTATTTTGTTCAATTTATATAGATGCCCATCTCACTTACATGATTCTGTGCACCTCACAAATTAAAACAGCAAAGACAAACTCATGTAAATATTAAAACAATTAACAAGAAACATAGAAGCATCGGTAAGTGCCAGCCAACAGACAATACAGATATCTTGCAGGCTCCCACATGCCCACATTATGACGTGAGGAAGAAGAATCACAGAATAAAACATTATCTGGAAATACGTAGAGAAGACATTTAAAATAGAGGATAAGCTCCTGAAAGTGCCAAATAATTAATACTTTATTGTGATAAGCCAAGCCATAACTATGTCTATAGCTCGAACATTCCTCAAATAAAACATTAGATGCCTTACTGTCTGCTAAGAAATCCTGCTTGGTTGTTTTTTTTTAAATTTAAGCTTTAGGAAATTATAGATGCTCCACTTCAGTTATAGAAAACATGATTAAATCCATAGTATAGATTATTTCACACTCATAAATTTCCTCTTATAAAAACTGCTCCATTCTGGAAATAAAAAACCAGTAAATTGTGCTACATATCAATCTGATCCAATTTTATCAGATAAATACAACTTTACAAACAGGCTTCCACCAAATATTCTATATGAGGAATTAAAAAGTGTTTATGCTTATAATGCAGATTTTCTCAGGAAAGGTCATCTGCACTGACTGAAATGTACTGGGGTACATTTCTAGAAAGGGAACTTTTATCATTAGTCCTGCACACTCCTGAGTCTGTCTGGTGACAGGTTAGAAGAAAGACACAGCCTAAATGTCCAAGATTCTCCCTCTCATCCTAACATCAAATAACTGAGAACATCAGTTGCTCAGTATTCCAACAGCAATCACAGCTACTATCAGGATTTACTGACATTTCTCTCACCGCCTATAAATTTCAAAGGCGTAATTTCTCTGCAGTTCTGAAGTTCTTCTGTTGTGAAGGACACTGAGGCTACAGCTTAGACCATTTTCCTTCTATTCACTTACAGCACCTTATAACATCTCTGTTGGCAATGTACACCAGCGAAGACTTCCAATCACCATAACAATGATTATGTGATAGCAGTGTAAGGTCCCAGTCCCTTACTTGAACTTGAGATACCATATCAATCTAATCAGATAACCCAAGCGAAGACTTCTTGATCAAGCAGCACTTTATTTGATCAAATTAAGCAGCTGGGTGGCCAACAATCTGGAACGCTGGCAGAGTTACATCCAGAAGTGCCATGCATTAGGAAATTGGTAGCTTTGTTAGCCAATGAAAATCAGACAACAGAGCCATTACATCATAAGAAAGACATCAATCATTCCTGTACACTCCCTTATTCCCATCTTCAGTATATCCTATCCACGTACATGTTTCCCAAGCTTGCATGAAATTTCTCTGGTGCAAAAACTGATTTCAAAAAGCAAGAAAGCAACAGTTGGACTAAACAATTTCCCTTTGCATATTCAGCAGAATATACAAACACTGTCGGAAGAGAGCCATGTTAGACTGTATTGGCAAATAATCAGGAGCCCAGGAATGCCTTTTCTGTCTAAACCAGGGGTAGGCAACCTTGGCTCTTTTATGACTCGTGGACTTCAACTCCCAGAATTCCTGAGCCAACTATGCTGGCTCAGGAATTCTGGGAGTTGAAGTCCACGAGTCGTAAAAGAGCCAAGGTTGCCTATCCCTGGTCTAAACAAATGACATTTAATAACATGTAATGTCATTTGTGAATGGGGAAAGGAGCCGATGTAAAATATGCAGAAATAGATAGTAATAACAGGCTATGCCAGGGGTAGGCAACCTTGGCTCTTTTATTACTCGTGAACTTCAACTCCCAGAATTCCTGAGCCAGCATGGCTCAGCTTGGAAACCTCTCCCTTTCCCCTCAGCATGGCTGGCTCAGGAATTCTGGGAGTTGAAGTCCTCGAGTCATAAAAGAGCCAAGGTTGCCTACCCCTGGGCTGTGCTCATTGCTGCCCTCTAGCGGGTCTTCAGAAACTTCTCAGCCCAGAACCCCCACCCTCACCCAAGCAAGCTCTTCTATTGACTTTGCCGACCAATCAGCGTTGTTCTCTCAGCAGAGGCTGGAGCGCTTTCTTCAGGGATAGTTTTCCGTCTTTCCAGTCCTAATACGAACCTGTTTAACTTTTTCAATTCCGCCACAGTCCACTCCATGCTGCCCCTCACCTGAGCGGGCATTAAGTAAGACGTGGAACAGCAGCTCACAAACCAGGGATATGGACAGCTCTAACAGGGTACGAGGCAACCTGCCGGGATTAAAACCATTCCCTTGGGAGCTCCCGACTTTGGATCATACTCGCGACCTTCTTCTTAAACTTACCGCATTCGCAGGAGGAGGCGAAAAGGACAAGCGCCTCACGCTGCCACCTTCGCGGGGTTTTAATGAGTCGCGGCAACCGTTGCCATGGACGCAGCAGGACGGGATTCCACGGAGTGAGAGAGGGGAAGCTCATCTGTACCGCTGGAGATCCCGGCTCCCTGGCTGGTATTCCAGCGCCGCGTTTTGTATATGCCGCTGCTGTAAACCGGAGCTAAGTGTAGCGGGGATCAATAGAGGGGTTGTTTTCATGACGAATGATTGTAAGTCGAGGACTAGCTGTATTACGTACAGCACGTACATCATCTATTGTCATAGATGCTATGCAACATTGTAATGATTTTTGATTGATAAGGAAAGTCCTCATGAGTAAAAGTAATAATCCTTAGATAAATTGAAATATCACAGTCTATTTTAACATCTTCAGCCACAAATATTTCAGGCAGATCAAGTTTCAATAGATTTTTTTTTCTCTATTTTGAATATAATATTCTTTATTGGCCAAATGTAATTGGACAACCCAGTAATTTGTCTCCAGTGCATAAGTTCTCAGTGTGCATACAAACAACAAAGTAATATAATCATAAGATACCAATGATAGAAGGTAATAGGAAAGATGAGAAGGATAATAGTAATACAGCCCTGCTACATAGGTAGTAGTTTATGTCCATGTTTATGTCTATGGAGAAAAGTTATTTCTATTCTCCATAGTACAGAATTGAAAACAATCCTTATTAATCATTGAAGAAATTCAGAGGTTTAGTGCAAGAGTCTATAAGAAACAAAAGACAGTAGCTAAACAAAGCGCTCCTATTCAAATTGTAATTTATGTGGTTTTTCCCTTTTTGTATGGGGTAAAACATAAGCTCATAAGTGAGACTCATACAGCATGTTAACTCATAATATAATGTGCTATGGCTTAGCATATTGTAATTTGTATTATTTATCAGATGTATAATAAATACACTTCCTCCAGTTTTTCTTCCAAACCACCAGATAAAATAGGTTGGGCTAAGAAAGGCACCCAATATGCCTCCATGGATAAGAATGGGCTTCAACCTCAGTCTGCCCACTAGTTGTTCGATCTTAACCATTACTACACTCTGGCTTTCTGATCTTGCAGGTACTGCACAAATTGTGTCAATAGCCACCATTAAGCAAAGTATGGATTGATAAAGGCAGGTAAGGCAGATTATTGCATTCCAATGGCTTTTGAGCAACTGAGTGCTTAAAAGTATTATAGAGGAACTGTAACTCAGCTTTGTTATAAACCAAGATCAGTTTTGTATCATGAGCATTTATTTGTAACCCCTAGACCCAATTACTAAAATAGATTACATTGCAGAATTGTATTACACTAATCTAATCGTCAAACTGTAATAAAATACTAAATTTATAATACTGCAGAATTGTTGCAAATTGCCCTTGCTATGTTAAAACATTGGAAAACGTTATGGGAATCACTAGACTCTTGTCAGTTTGCTTAGCTCCTTGCAAATTCAAAGAAATTCGTATGTACTCACTTCACATAAAACATGATTAAACAGTAAGCAGTTCACCAATGTATTTTTTTTTTCAGCTGTGTTACAACTCTGATCTCACTGTTCACTTGTACGAACCTCTTCATATCTCATACAACATTTAAAAATGAAAAAAGGACCAATGAGGAACAGTGAGAATTATGATTCATACCACAAAGGTTTTCTTAGCAGTATTACAGAAGTGTGCCGGGATGGGGGATTTCACAGCAATTTTGTTTTGCAGGCTAGAGTGGAGGCAGAAAACTATTCCAGAAGAATACATGGCACTTGTATTCTTCTGGAATAGTTTTCTGCCTCCACTCTAGCCTGCAAAACCGAATTGCTGTGAAATCCCCATCCCGGTCCTAACCAACGACCCTCAGCTTCCCGCTAGCTGCCAAGTGCAGACAAACCCTACGCCCTAGCTAGGCGAAGTCAAATAGCTCTTCAATCTGACGGGGGTTTGCTTCCGGTTGACGCCCGGAAGTGAAGATTAGAAAGTGGGAGTCGCTGGTCTTGGTTCTTCCCGGTTCTGTCTCTTGCTTGTTTCCCCCGATTCGGCTTGTTTTCGCTGCCCGATGCATCCGCGGCGCCCCGAGGGCTTCGACGGCCTGGGCTATCGGAGCGCCCGAGAGGAGCCCGGAGGCTTCGCGGCCAAGCCGGACCTAGGCCACTGGGTCACTACCCCGCCTGACATTCCTGGCAGCCGCAATCTCCATTGGGGTGAAAAGACGCCGCAGTTCGCCGCAGGCACACCTTTGGTGGCGGCTGGGCTCAACGAGGACCCGTACCTAGGAGGCGCTGGCACCAACTCCGGTGCGTAAAGCAAATCGCGAGTGCGGGAGTGGCACGCGTAGATTAAGAGCCTGGCCTCCGCCCTTAGGCAGCAGGTGCTCCGGTGCGTCAGGCAGGTCTGCTCTGCAGTCCTCATTGGTTACGTCTGGTCCAAAAAGCCACCGGAAACGGTGTGCTAACCCATTTTTGGCTTTGGATGCTGTCCAGCACTTTTCCTGTAATCCATGTCTATAGGTGTGTCTCTTTTTGGAAGCATTTTGTCACTTGAGTGGCATATGCTAGGCACTTCCAAAAAACAAGTTACATAGTACCTGGAATAGTATAGATATTATTTAAGAGGTATGAGGAAATTAAGTATTTAACTTATTTAGAAACACTGTATTTTCTGCAGTTGATAAGGATGCCTAATATGCTACATTTCTTGGATTTACTATATAATTCATTACAATGAATAGTAAAAATTCCATACTGAAATGTGTTTCTCATATTCTGGCTTAAATGTGTGGTTATCTGTCTTTTAGAGCAATTAAATCGGTTTGCAGGCTTTGGGATTGGATTGGCAAGGTAAGAGGTCTAATCTTCTGTTAATGGCATTTTTTTAATGCAAAAACACTTTATTTTTTCAAAATTCATGCCCACTAGGTAATTCAGAAATTGAATATTGCCATTAAACTTTAAACAAAATGTTACAGTTGAATTTTCATAACTAACACTTAAGTTATTAATATTGCTAAGTAACTTTATTTAATACTAAATTGATATTTGTTCAGTTTCTATGGTCGCCTATCTCAGTCAATGACTCTAAGTGTCTTACAATATCTGAATCTATTTGATATTGCTAACTAACCATCTGAATCTATTTGATATTGCTAACTAGGCTATTCATATTGTTCTTGCCTAGTCTTTGGCTATTGATACTAATGTTTGCAATAAAGCTACATTAGAAAAAATTACTCATCTGGAAGGAGATTGTGTTTAAAGTCTCAATCTGAACCAACAATTCTTCAAGTTGGCCTCAACCTAAATAGTGAAAATTTGGAATGATAAATTTGCAAAACATCTGCTCATAACTGAAAGAAGTTCATCTCTTTAGAAAGAATAATTAATTCATCTGAGCAAACGGGTGCTTAACTATGACAAATTAGCCATAACTTGCCTGTGTATATGTATCCAAACCTGGAGTCTTGTTAACTGTTTGTCAACAAGATCTAAATGGATGAATTGGATTGACAGTAAAAGAAATTTCTATTTATAAAAATCCAATTTCTTTCAGAAATTTTGTGTAAGAAGTTCCTTAAGAGTGTTTATACTTGATGTTGAGCCAAATAAATGTTTTGAAGATTCTGTTCTTATACCTTTCCCATAAGCTGTCTTTTAATGTAGTTTTTTTTTTTTTAAAAAAAGGAGTTATGGATGATTTCCATATTTTATTTAGAGTATATACATTTTTAGCCTTTTAAACCTACATCCACTATGAATATAATCTCATGAATTTCTGGTTGCTAAAAGATAATTGAGCACTTTCAATATATCATTTCAATGCATTCAGCATTTTGTTCTGAACTAAATGAAAGCTAGAGATCTGAAATTAGTTGTACTTTTTATGGCCTCATTGTTACCATCAGTCTACTTTCTAAAATCTCAGCAGACTTAAGGAAATAAATAAATTTTTAAATGTTTTAAATAATTTCCATTCAACATATCTGACGTCTACTGAAACTTTAGTTTCATTATTATAAAGCAAATTGGAATAAAGTGCCCCAAAGTATTGTCAGACGTTAGAACACTATCATGTACTGAGATATATAGTATGATATGAAACCATGAAAAGCAATAACTAGAATGCAGTTGACATAAATTATTTATGGTTGCTTCTGAATATAAATTAAAATTCTTACTCGTGACTACTATTATACTCAACACTAGAGCAATTTGACAACCAAAGAAACTAGTAAAGACATCCCAGCAATATTTTGGAAAACTTGGGCTTGTAAATATAGGTTGTCCTCAACTTACAACCATTTATTTAATGACCATTCAAAGTTACAATGGGACTGAAAAATGTGACTTACAACTAGGTCTCGCACTTACAACCAACACAGCATCCCAATAGTCATATGATCAGGGTTGCTTGGCATCTAGCATTTACAGTGGTTGCAGAGTCCTGGGCTCATGTCATCATCATTTACAACCTTCCTAGCTGTCTTCTGGCCAGCAAAGTCAATGGGAAAAATCAGTTTTGCTTCAAGACCACACGATTCAACAACTGCATTAATTTGCTTAACAGCCATGGCAAAAAAGCTCATAAAATTGGCTGTGACTCACTTAATGACTGCCTTAATGTAAATTTTAGTCTCAATTGTGGTCATAAGTTTATTTATTTATTTATATAAATTTAATAAATAAATAAATAAGTTGAGGACTACCTGCATGTCCCAATTTGGATGGATCTTGCTTAGGTAACAACCAGCTGTATCATACTAGAAGCAACTGTTGTATCCACAATTAGTAAATACTGCAGTTAACTAACTACATAATTTTGCAAAAACAATAGCAGAAGGAAAAAGAGGATATATTTGTCCTATTGCAACCATTTTATAGCCTTACAAATTAGCTTGTCACGCTGTGCTATTCATACTGGTTTTTCAATCATAAAAAGACATTTTTACAACATATATGGATTTTCTTTAATAGCGTCATTCTACTAAAAGCAGAATTTTGAATAATATAATCACAAAATAAATAGATGAAGTGCATTTTAATTCTATTTAGGTACATATACAGTAAACTCTTTGTTTCCTGGTTGTAATTGGTATAGAAATTGCTTGAGGGGATACTCACTATATGAGATTTTTTTATGTGTTGGTAGGTCCAATTGGCCATGCAAAAAGCAGTATAACTATCAGATTAATTTCTCATGAGAAAGAACACAAACCACTTGTTCCCTCACTTTCCTAAAACAAAATGACAAATCTAATAAGATGGGCTTTGCCAATTGGCCATTGTGGTGGTTTTTAACTGCTGCTTTTTAAAGGTTCCATTGTAACCATAGGGGAGAATAACCCCTCCCCTTAGAAGTGTGGTACCTAGCAACTAGTGCCAATAGTGCGGTATGCTTTCCTTCTTAGATGGCAAGGCATTCTCACACAAGTAGTCGAACCAGCTACAGTTCTTGCTGCTTACATGTGGCAGGGCTGACTGATGAAGTCTTGGACACGGATCATAACGTACAATAATTCCTGTCTGGCTGTTTAATGTGATCTGCTGATTTGTTTTGGTTTTTGTGGCTGTGTGTGTATATATAAATGGATTGCATAGCTCATGTAAACCGAATAGAGAACAAGTATTTCACATTTCACTATTTCTAGATGTTATCAAACTGATAGTTCTGACAGTTTAGTTTAGGCAGTTATCAAACCTGTCTCGTACCTATGTATATTCATTTCTATAAATGCTTAATTTGTAGGTTTTATTCCTCTCTGTGTTTGTATTGCCGGGCTACTTACATGTTATAGTAGCCTATCTCTGTCTTTCAGCAGAGATGGACAACCTGGATTCTTTCAAATGTAAAAAAAATTGTGGAAGTTATATCAGAAATTCATAAGTTGCCTATTAGAATGAGCTTATTTTGGGGAGGTATTTTGCTTCATCAGAATTCAGAACACCACTTCAAAACAAAACAGTACCCATCTTCTACTCAGCAGAGTAGTTGCTTGGTTTTGATCTAATAAATAAGTGGGGCTTCTGAACATATGCAGTGCATTCAGTGCAGACTGTTACTGAAAGAAACATACTAACCTAGTCCCATTATCCCTGCCTTATTTTGTAGAAGCAGAATGACTCATCTTAACAATTTTCCATATTAGAACAAACATTTTGTATTTCTTATATATGCAATAGAAGCTGTAGTTCATTATACAGCTTAGATTTTTGCAGAAGGCAGATGTATGTGAAGGTTATTGAGACTTGTCTATATGTTATAAATTTTAATTTATAGACATCACAGTTGTACAAATTAGAATGACTAATGTTCTAATGAAAGTTGAGCATTTAAAATAATTGTTTCTTCACAGTTTATTCACAGAAAATGTACTGGCTCATCCTTGCATCGTTTTGCGTCGGCAATGCCAGGTAAATTCTTTGGGCTATTGTGGACTATTATTCAAATATTTGTTTTGTGTTTCTCTGTTGTAGTTATGTAATTAGGACAGCAGGTTCCATGCATATTTAGTAGATTTTTATAACTTTTTCTGATTTTAAAAATGTATTTCTTCCTTTTGTAAAATAGAAAAGAGGTACAAGGGGTATCAAAAGATTGTGAAGTTAGTTTAGCCTGGCAAAATATCCATACAGCCAAATAACTCACATTTCTACATCAAGTATTGTAAATAAATTGTTTTACTGCTCTATCTGAACCACTTAGTAAAATAGAACTGAATTTTCCATTTTAGATAGCTGGAATAGCTTTACCCTAAGTTCATCTTTTATATTACTCCTAGTTTAAAATTTATTTAATAATTCAGGTCTACTATTTTATATATTTTAATGAATAGATAAATTGAGATAGCATCCTCCTTTTTTCCAAAATTATGAATTTGTCAAAATCTTTATCAGTGTAGCCAATCTTAAGGTAAAATACTTAAGGAAATTCATTCAAGCTGAAATAAGTATTTCGGAACCTCTGGGAACACATAAAAACCTCTCCTTTGAATCAGTACACCATCGATAACTTTACAGCTTCATGAAATTGCTTCGTAAACCACTGTCAGTTGTTTCCCTATGTCAGGGGTTTTCAAACTTGGCCCTTTTATGACTTGTGGACTTCAACTCCCAGAATTCCTCAGCCAGGCATGCTGGCTGAGGAATTCTGGGAGTTGAAGTCCACAAGTCATAAAAGGGCCAAGTTTGAAGACTCCTGCCCTATGTGGTGCATGTATACCAGCTTTGGACATATATACATATGGAGACATCTCAGAGCAGCTTCCAAAGCAGCAGCACAAGCCTAGAAAAAACAACAGGAACTTCATGGATTTGAAAAAAGATTCTTCATACAAGCTCTTTCATGTTCTGAAGCACCTCTTCTGAAAAATCTGCACATTCCTAAAAATCCTCCTCCTAATATTTTGAAGACAGGCATTTTAGTACTTGGATCTGAAGTAATCAAAGCTGCTGTCCCTGTTGGTGAATCTCTAAAGGAGCTTATGCCTTTTGCTGGTTTTACTCATAGCCATAATGGCTCAGAAAAGTCCATGTTTTTCTTAAGGAGGCAGTGACATGTGGTCAGGCCCATTTCTGTCTCCTTGATGTCCCCTAGTTTCTTCAGTCTGTGCTACTACTATGCAAAACAAGAAAAGATAGATAAAACAACGTGTCAATGCCACTTTTGCACTCTTGGATCCAAAACCTGGAACTTCTAACGTGCAATGAAATATAAAGATTATCGATAAGATTGCACCATTTGTTTTGAATTTATTGTCACTAATATATGGAATTTGATTAGATATAATAATAATAATATTAATAATAATAATAATAATAATAATAATAATAATAATAATAATAATAATAATAATAAAGTTGGAAGGGACCTTGGAGGTCATCTAGTCCAACCCCCTGCTCAGGCAGGAAACCCTATACCATTTTGGGCAAATGGCTGTCCAGTTTCTTCTTAAAAACTCCCAGTGTTGGAGCACTCACCGCTTCTGGAGGCAGGTGGTTCCACTGGTTAATTGTTCTAACTGTCCGGAAGTTTCTCCTTAGTTCTAGGTTGCTTCTCTCCTTGATTAGTTTCCATCCATTGCTTCTTGTCCTGCCTTCAGGCGCTTTGCAAAATAGCTTGACTCCCTCTTCTTTGTGGCAGCCCCTGAGATATTGGAACACTGCTATCATGTCCCCCCTCGTCCTTCTCTTCATTAAACTAGACATACCCAATTCCAGCAACCGTTCCTTATATGTTTTAGCTTCCAGTCCCCTAATCATCTTTGTTGCTCTTCTCTGTACTCTTTCTAGAGTCTCAACATCTTTTTTACATCGTGGTGACCAAAACTGAATCCAGTATTCCAAGTGTGGCCTTACCAAGGCATTGTAAAGTGATATTAATACTTCACGTGATCTTGATTCTATCCCTCTGTTAATGCAGGCCAGCACTGTGTTGGCTTTTTTGGCAGCTGCAGCACACTGCTGGCTCATATTTAAGTGATTGTCCACTAGGACTCCGAGATCCCTCATAGAAGTATTTTTGCATGTAGAAGTATTCATACAACATTTAGTGCATCTAGAGCTTTAAGAGATCCAGTTCATACACATCATTAAAGATTTATAATCATGATTTGTCTACACAAAATAAGCAATAGTGATTTAGCACATATATGTGTGTGTATACACACACACACACATTTTTACACTTGTGTATATATTTTATATTTTTATATTTTCAGGTTAATTATCATGCCAAGAATTATCACCTTACTCCGTTTACAATCATCAACATTATGTATAGCATCAATAAAACACAGGTTAGTACTTGCTGTCAGTTGGAGATTATTTATTTATAAAGTTAGCTTACAAATTTTTAAAGAACAATACATTTGTTATTGTTTTTGTTTTATTTATGTACTGTGACTTTCTCATATATTGTAATAGTATAAAATGGCAATATGTAAAGAGGTTATTACTTGGTAACATTGGCCTTTTCAATACATCCAATATTGAACTAATTATAACTTAAATTTCAGGGCCCCAGAGCTCTTTGGAAAGGAATGGGGAGTACTTTCATTGTCCAGGGTATAGCCCTTGGAGCAGAAGGGATCATCAGTGAATTCACGCCCTTGCCAAGGTATAATCATTTTTTGTCTCATTGTGTTAAATAAAATATTAATAACTGTATTAAGATTCTTTGATTTAATTAGTTAAAAAATAAGCCACTCTAATAATTGTTTTATGATGAGAAACATGAATAAAGCTATCTGGATTAGGATCAGCACTACAAAACAGCATGCTCACATTCTTGGATAAACCAGATTTTTGAGCAAATTATTTTAACATTCTAGTAAGAATACAGTATAGCATTGTATCTATTGTATATTCAGATATAAACTAATAATAATATATGCTGAAATTATATTAGTGGGAATTCTAAAAAAGGGTAGACTTTGTTATACAAAATTACCAGTTAATAAGATTTTCTGCTCTATAAGATAAAAATGAATACACATCTTTTCTTGTCCTTTTGAGGCCCTGTATTATTATTCCTTTATAATGCATCTTTACATCCATTACCAGTTCTGTATTATTCTTAACATAAGCGTGTCTTATTTTTTTCTTCAGTTTTAATGTAAGTAATGAGATTGTGGAAAGGTCCAATAAGTATTAATAAATAAAACAAAATATAGCATAGGTAATCCCCAACTTACAACCATACATTTAATGACTGTTCAAAGTTACAATGGCACTTGGAAATAGTGACTTGTGACCAATTGTCACACTTATGACTCTTGCAACATCCCCATAATCATGTGCTCAAACTTTGGGTGCTTCACAACTGATATATAAATGTTTGCATTTTACCCAATACCTTTATTTTTATACTACACGAGCTTTTATATCTCTCAAACAAAACCCAATGTGACAGTAACACTGCTGTGTACATAATGCCCCAATTTATTTAGAGTACCATGGGAAACTGATGCTTCTCCAGTTTAACTATAGATTATATATGACTCCTTACTGTAAGCATTGCATAAAGTAATGATTTTCTGTATATTCTAACTTCTGCATGAATAAGAAATCTTTTTTAAAAATTTCAGAGAAATTTCATACAAATGGAATCCCAAGCAAATAGGAGGACATCTGACCCTAAAAGCGTATGTATGATTGATCATACTTTCAAATTAATAACCATACAGGCAAAACAAAAGTGAAGCATAATAAGACTCTCTCTATTATAGAATAGCAACATCAATTTGAGCAGGATTATCTGGATTTGTTGGAGTACCAATTCCAGAATTCCCTGTTATAGAAAAATACCATTCTGACTGAAAATTCTGAAAGATAATCCCACACTGTGAATGGATCAATTTGTGGAAAATTCTTGAGACTTTCAGGTTGTAGTATTTTTTTAATACTAAATCTGTTTTCTTCATTTTATTCTGATGATTCCCTTGAATAGATGCACACACACACACAAATGCAACATAGTTGATAAACTGAGAATGAATTCTCATTTCTTTTTACTTCTTTCCAATTAAAGAATTTAAGTAGCATTCAGAAAATGATATACAATGGTTTTGAAGAAACACAAAATACAAATACTTGTTGACTTACAACGATTCATTTACTGGCCTCTGATTTTTGGTTGCTCCAGCATTCCCATAGTCAAGTGATCACTGTCTGAGTGCTTGGCCATTGGTTGCCATTTAGGACCAATTGCAGCACCCCATGATCATGTGAGCATCCTTTGTGACATTCCCGACCAGCTTCCCACAAACAGAGTCAATAGGGGAGCTGGCAGGAAGTAGGAAGATGCAATCACATAAGGTCTTTGCTTAATAATCCCCCAGTCTTCACTTAATTACAGCAACAAGAACTGCTGGGATTGCCATTGCTGAGTGACATGGTCACATGACATCACATTTTTATGACCATATGACTTAGTGACAAAAATTCTAGTTCCAATTCCCCTGGCAATCTGAGGATTACCTGTATGGCTGAAATAGATTAAGACTTAAGGTAATTCTTGAGTGGGATGTTTGAAATAAAAGGATGTGATTGGACTTTAGCAAATTGGATTTTGATTATCGAAATAGTAACTGTATTTATTCCTCTAGGTTGACGTGTATGATAGCAATGCCTTTTTATTCAGCAAGTTTGATTGAAACTGTGCAAGTAAGTTTTGTCTTTATGTATATACATATTTGCATATTCTTTTGTATAATTCTGGGGGAATCAAAATTGGAAGTATCATAGCCTTGGAACTGAGCTTTTATATTCTGTTTTATATCTATTGCTTCTGAAGGAAAATAGTTAAAATTTCCAAAATTGTTAGAC